TATATATATATGTTTATATATATATATATACATATATATATATATATGTTTATATATATATATATATATGTATATATATATATATATATAAATATATATATATATATGTTTATATATATATATATATACATACATATCGCTGCTTCTTGACAGCGATGCTAGTTTTCTTGTCTTTTCAGGCTCTCCCTCTCTGTGGGCTCCAGTTTCTTTCTGTAGAGAGAAGCTCTAGGAATTGAAATTACAACTGAAATAAAATATCAATTGAAATAAATCTCCTTAAATTATATATATATATAAAAAAAACGGTTTATTGTTTGAGGACCCTAAGTCTAGAAGAAGACGCCAAATCCTAAAGTTTTGTTTATTTTCTTATTTTTCTGTCCACTTCAGTCCAAGGTGATAAAAAACAAAACGTGTTTGCAACTGGCTCGTTAGAAACTGCAAAGACATCATGACTCGAACCTTAATGATGTGCAACATCCACTCATCATCATGCACTAAAAACTCTTTCAACTTAACCGACCCGTTGATCTTTAAGTTTTAGTCCTCTATAAGTTAAATACATGTTTTATAAAGAGTTACAGTAGTTAGTGAAGGACATTCTTGTCTGTCCAAAACAAATCAGTGAATAGATCCTTGTAACTTTGTTGGACCAAGTCCTAATTCTACAGTGATCGTGGGGGGAGGGCAAGAGGAATCGGATCCAGAAGGTGGGTGGGGGCCGGATGAGAAAGAGGGTTTAGGATCCAGTCCATCCATCCGTCGGTCCTCCCAGACTCAAAGTGATCATTGTTCCCGTCTGATGAAGAGTCCGGCCCTTCAAACGAGGTAACGGGACACAAAGAACGATTGTTTGACTGATGCAGATGTTTGTGTGTTTGTTTGCAACAACGTGTCGAGTTAAACTGGACTTAAAAGTTGTCAAAAATACTCATTTTGATTGCAGCGTCAGCACATTTCTAACCTTTATGAAACTAATAACTTAGATAGAATTTTTGAAGACTTTTCAGATGCTTTGAGAGGATGAGTTGAGCAGAAATTCAATGTTAACCATTAAAACAACAATTCTGCTCCATTGGAGGAATCTCATTTCATCATGTGTTGATGGAGGATCCTTTTGGAGCTGATCTAAATATTGACCCAAACGTCCCGGCTTCAACTCCTCCTGTGGACTCATGTGACTCTGTGGAGATCGAGAAAAAAATTAAAAAAGGGAATAAAATAAGAGCTGAAGGGGACAGTTCTTTTGTTATTGTTGTTGCTCCAAGATAAGAGGATATTAGAGCTGGTGGGAAAGGAGCTTTTATGAGAGGAGACATGATCCAGTGGGGAAAAAGTGAAGTGCTTTCTGAAGAGATGAGATTTTAGCCTTCCAGGGGAGAACGGCTGTCCGCTGCAAATCGCCGGGGAAGGTCACCGTGCCTGAGCCTGGATGATGCGACTGTTTACAGGACGAAATTAAACCAAAACTAACCGAGCAAAGGAAAAAACACTGTCTCTGCAGGGAAAGTTGGCTCCACACACTGGATTCTTGTTAATCAATTTATTGTGTATATATATATACATATATATATGTATATATATATATATGTATATAAAATATAAGTAAATTTGAGAGCAGAAGCTGCGGTCCGTGTGAATTGTTTATATTTTGTATAATGTTTGCTGTGAATAATTGTTTCATGTATCAGATGCAGTACAGCTGGAGCACATCTGTCGGAGACGTTTCTTCACCTTACTGGACTCAAGGTGAGATTATTTTTTTGTGATTTTGTTGGTTTTTAAGTCACTTTTTTATGTTTGTCTGCTGACGCTTTTATAGATTAATTTTCCATATGGGATCGTTTACTATTAAGGAATAGTTAAAAACCAGATTAGATAGTAAAGATAAGGAAATAAGAACTGTGATGCCTTCGGAATGGGATGTTTAAATCACATAAAACTCATTTTAAAGCCCCGGATAAAATTCAAAAATCATAACAGACGTTCCAGCGGACCTGCAAGATTTTTACGAGCTACAAGTTTATCAGATTTGGCTGCTTTTTGCCGTTTTGAGATTTTAATTTTTACATTTGAGGTTTGTTTTTATGATTTACCAAACAACTGTTAACTGGACTGGGTTGAAATTTGAACATGAATAAGATAAGTTGATGAGTCATCAAGATTCCTCACAAAAGAACATTTTGCTTAAACATGGGTCAGGTTTACTGAATTTTATGCCTCCAGTGTTTTTTTTATTATCAGTCGGTGCCAAAAGGTAAAGGCACACGATAATGTTTTTACCTGTGTCTGTTTATACTGTTAGCAAAATATCTCATGAATCGCAAAATTTTTTTTTAATAAAAATTAAAAATCAATCACTGGATGAACTTCTACATCAAGAGAAATTGCACTTCCTGTCGAAATGTTTATTGTTGAAAAACTTGCTGAAAAACAGCTGAAATTAGTTTAAAAAAACATTTTGAATTGTAGCTGAAATGAAAGAATAAACCGTAGAAGAACGCAGACAGAACACATTTTTGCTGAATTATAGCACAAACTTTAGGAAATTAGATAAAATAAGCTTAAATTAGATAAACAAATAGCTGAAATGTAGCTGAAAAGGCAGAAAGAAACTTACATTACCAGAAGGAAGTGAAAAGAACTGTAATGAGCTTTAAAAAAAGTGGAATTAGCTGAAAAGGCTAAAATTGGTGTAAAGCAGCTAAAAAGTAGTTATAATAGCAGAAATGAGCATAACAAACTGAAATTACCATAAAGAAGTTAATTAGGTTGAAAATAACAAAAATTAAAACTTGAATTTATCTGAAAACAGCTGAAATTAACTAAAAATGCTGGCTAAAAATGATAGCTGAAAAGATAGAACAAGCTGAAATTAGCAGAAGAAAACAGAAAGAAGACATGTTTGCTGAAACAAAATGAGCACAAAACAGTGGAAATTATCTGAAAAAAGTGGACATGAGCAAAACACAGCCGAATAGTAGCTAAAAGGGCAGAAAAAAATCTTAAATTACCAGAAGAAAGTGAAGAGAGCAATTTGTGCTGAATTAGGCTGAGAAAAGTTTAAACGAGTGCGAAAAATGTGGAATTAACTGAAAAAGCTCAAATTAGCATAAAAACAGCTAAATAGTAGCTGAAATGGCAGAAAAAGTTGAATCATGCAGAATTAAGCTGAAAGGAGCATAACAAGGTGAAATTAGTAGAAAGAAGTTAGAAGTACAAACATTTTGTAGTTAGCAGAACAAATCAGAAGGCAGCATAAAACAGCTGAAATTAGCTGAAAAAAGTTAACATTTTGCAGATGGAAGCTGAAAGAAGCTGAAGAAGAACGAAAAGTGAAAGGAGCAGTAAACGGTTGTGAACACATCTGAAGATTTGAAGGATGGAAAATGATTAATTCATTTTCTATGAGGAAAAAATGGCAGAAAAGGCTAAAATATTTCAAAAAGCTAAAGTTGCACCAACACCAAAAGTCATAGCAGGATTGTCCTGAAAGAGCTGAACGTTTGGATTTATGATTTGGTGAAATGGCTTGAAAACTGGGGGATGAGAATCACACCGAAAAATGTACGGAAGCAAAATGGATGACGATCGTGTGAATGCTTCATAAACATTCGCACTGTTAACATTTGTAGTGGGACTAATTAAGGATGACTGATCCGTTATTGAGCTTTTTACACGCCTGTGTGTTTTGTCTCCACCTGGAAACTTCCTCTTCTGACCTGCAACTTCTGTTTGTTCAAAACTATTTAACAAAACTTCATATTCATATGCTTCATCACCAGATGGAGTGTTGCATACATTTATATTAATAAGGTCAAGGTCACAAATCAAGGTCAACGCTTGCTACAGTTTGCCTCTCACATTTCCTCCTCTCTCTTCCAGCAGTGCTGTTTCCAGACTGGGCCTACAAACCGGCCTGGTCTCCTGGTTCCAGGCAGGTGCAGCTCTGGCACTTCCTGTTGGAGCTGCTGGGCCGCGGCGAGGGAGGGGCCATCGGCTGGGGAGGGGAGTGGGGCGAGTTCGTCATCAGGGACCCCGAAAGGCTGGCCAGGCTGTGGGGGGAGAGGAAGGGCAAACCGCACATGAACTACGACAAACTCAGCCGGGCGCTCAGGTAAGGGGTCCTCTACAAAACGTCAGCACGTTACCTTTGAGGAAGAAACACCTGGGGGGACCTGCAGGACCAGGACTGACAGGAAACCGTCTTCTTGCAGGTACTACTACAACAAGCGCATCCTGCACAAGACCAAAGGGAAGAGATTCACCTACAGGTTCAACTTCAGCAAACTCATCCTGATCAACTGCCCGGGTCACCCGCCTCCACCCGGCCACCAGGTCACCACCAAGACTCCACCCCCACTTTAAGGGCTGGTCCCTGAAACTGGGCCACATTTACAAAACACATAAAAGATTAACTGTGATGTTTAAAGATTTAAAATGAAATATCCTGAACTGTTACCTCAGCTTTATTATTAATGTGGATTAGCAAGACTGGAACAGAACTCCTCTGAAAACC